GCCTTCTCCTTCCCCTATGTACTTCATCTCTTTTAGATCTTACCTTCCCCTAATTTCGAAGCCTTGAAACAACAAAATCCCATAAAGCTTCGCAAGAACAACCTTTGCTAAAAAATACTTTGCTATGTTTATAGTGTTTTATGTTGTGTCTGCTTTTGATGATTGTTGCTCTTTGCTATTATGTATGTTTCTAACAAAATTACTCTTTCCTGAATTGTATTTGCTTGATTATGTATTGTCGGTTTCTGTGTTGCTTTCTAATTGTTGATCAGTGTTTATTAATTTCTGGAATTGTAGTGTGGCTATCGATTGCCTCCTCTCTAGTTTGGAAAATTGGAACCCTGAAAAACACTATTCTCCAAATTTTGCTAAAATTGCTTCCTCTGTGGATTGCACCTGCTAAATCCCTAATAGAGGATTCTAGGTCTTACTTTTTTAAGAGTTTAATCCCAATTTCAACAGAACTCTAAATTGAAAAATGATACAAATGACCTTATGATCTTATTTCCTAGATTAGAGGACTTTAAAAATCGTATCTTGAGATCAAAAGCATTATAGGTTGCCTAGTGATATTTTCACGCCAAGGGGAAGTAGGCAGAGTTTAGAGTCCGTAGAGTTTAGAGTCCAAATGTAGTTAAGCCCATTACTTGTTTATGTTATTTGCATTCTGTTGTCGGTTTTACATACTGTATTTGGAATTTTATGAGGAATTTAGATATTCCAAGAGGGTGAGGAATTACATGTAAGCGGCGTTGACTGTAAACGGTTATGCATATAAATATCAACAATATCAATAGTCTCTTTCTTTTCTCTCTCTCGTTCTCTTTGGTCTTTTTTGGTATCCTTTCCCTTGAATTTCTCCTTCTGTTTTTCTCTTAAAATATTGGTGATATCAATTGGTGTCAGAGCTACGTTCCTGGCTCTAATGGCAGAAGGCGTCACCACCAGACTTAAAAAAAAAAGTTAGTCAGTTGCAGGCAAAGGTACAACAGTTGAATAAAACCATGAGCTGAGGTTTGAGGAGATGAGAGCTGAGTTTCAGAAGCTTTTAGAGCGGTTGCCAGCTCGTGAGAGAAGTTAGTCCTCTGACAAGTAAGGTAGCCAATCTCTGATGGGTCAAGAATCATCACTTGTTGGATCTTCAATGTGGGTAACCCATTCATACTCTGATACTTATAGATCTTTCAAACTAGAATGTCCAAAGTTCAATGGGGAGGACTTTAAGGGGTGGCTTATGAAACTAGAATAGTACTTTGAAGGGGAAAGGTTTTATGAATGTTCTAAGTTGAGGGTTGCTATGTTAAGTCTTGAAGGGAAAGCCTTACAATGGCATCATCATTATACTAGGGTACAAGGGGGTTTGGATAAGTTGAATTGGGTTGCTTACATTGCAAAGATGCAATCTTACCTGGTGAATTTGAGGATCCTATGGCAGAGCTAGTCAAGCTAAGGCAGACTGGAAGTGTTGAGCATTATCAGTTTATTGGGATACCTAAATTTGTTGCAATTATCTGACAATTATGCTCTGAGCATTTTTGTCAGTAACTTGAAACCTAAAATTGCTTAGTCAGTCAAGCTCTTTAGGCCAAAAACCTTGAACCAAGCCCTTAACCTAGTTCAACAAATTGAATCCATTATGCACTTTTCCTTTAAGAAACCCTTATCCATCTTTAAACCAACCACTTTTTCCACTATGACCAATTCCATATTCAAAACCAGTAATTTACCACCTTTACTTCCAACTCCAAAGATACCACCAAAACCACTTTATGAAGCTCGAAAAATCAACCCTCCCAATCCCACTCAATCAAAACCCTTAAAACCTAATAGCGAGAAACTGTCATTAGTAAAGATGGAATAAAAGCTTATGCTATTGGTGTCGTGACAAATACTCACCCGACCACAAATGCATGCGTTCACAATTGTATCAAATGTTGATGGAAAGCTATAAGGAGGTGGAGCTAGAACTTGAAGTACCTACCAACAGTGCTAGCACTGAACCTTTAGTATCAAAAGAAAATGAGAACCCTTTGCTTGTGATATCCTTGCATGCCATGTTAGGTACAGAAGGTTACCAAACTATGAGGGTGAATGTGTTGCTGTATAAACATACCTTTGTGGCATTAATTGATTTTGGCAGTACACATAATTTTGTGGATGAATCGATCGTTAAGACCTTGGGTCTACCTGTTTGGCAAGGCTGCAAGCTATCTATTGCCATAGTTGACGGTGGCAACTTGTATAAAACTAGACTCTGTAAAGGGGTCCACTGGTTAATGTAGGGAGCCAACTTCTCTACTGATTTCATGGTATTGCCTTTAAAAGGATGTGACATAGTATTGGGGGTTCAATGGCTCATAACTCTGGGACCAATAATTTGGGATTTTCATGCATTGACTATGTAGTTTCTGCATAATTCCATGAGGCACTTGATACAGAGGTTACAACTTGGGTTAATTCACGTTATGAAGAAGAAACATACTATGAAGATATTACCTCCATTGTTGACTAGAACAGGACATCATCCATGCATTTATTTGATGGCAACCAGTTTACAAGCTCAGTTTTACTTCTGGTTTGGAGGAACCTGACAATTCTGATTCTACGCTAGCATTGAAGCAGTTATTATGAGAGTATGAGGATCTGTTTGAGTTATCTAAAGGATTACCCCCTTGTAAGTTGCATGATCATAGAATTCCTTTGATGAATGAAGCCCAGACTGTTAAGGTGAAACCTTATAGATATCTTGCTAAACAAAAAAATGAAATTAAAAGAATGGTGAAGGAAATGTTGGATAATGGAATAAGAAGAAATAGCAATAACTCATTTGCTTCTTCAATTGTAATAGTGAAAGAGAAAGATGGTTCTTGGAGACTATGTGTGGATTACAGATAATTAAATCAGCTCACCATCAAAGATAAGTTCCCTAGACCTTTGGTGGATGAACTATTAGATGAATTGATGCATGCTGCATATTTTTCCATGTTAGACTTGAGGTCAGGCTACCATCAGATTCGGATGTATGAAGAAAATGTCCACAAAATAGCTTTCAGAATAGATGAAGGGCATTATGAATTCTTAGTGATGCCCTTCGATCTGACCAATGTCCCTTCTACATTTCAAAGTCTAATGAACTCACTTTTTAAGCCATATTTAAGGGAGTTTGTTTTGGTATTCTTTGATGACATTTTGGTCTACTCTTCTAATTGGGATACTTCTTTGCTTCATTTAAGGCAGGTTTTTGAGATACGTAAAGCCAACAAACTCTTTGTTAAAAAAAGTAAATGTTAGTTCGGAGCTAAGGAGATTATTTGGGGCATGTGATCAGTGGTGAAAGCATTTCTATGGACAAGAGTAAGATCCAACGCATTTTAGATTGTTCAGTACCACAGCTAGTGAAAGAACTCAGGGGCTTTTTGTGCTTACGGGGTATTACCAAAGGTTCATAAGGAGTTATAGGGTGATTGCTAAACCTTTGACTGATTTACTTAAAAGAAATGCCTGGAAATGGACTGAAGCCGCCACTCATGCTTTGAATCAATTGAAATAGGCCATCACTTCTGCCCCGATATTGGCCCTACCTGATTTCTCAATTGAATTTGCAATGGAGACTAATGTATCCGGAGTTGGTGTAGGTGCAGTCTTGACTCAAAATAGGAGACCTTTGGCTTACTTTAGTAAAGCTCTTGCACCTCGAAATCAAGTTTTATTTATTTATGATAAGGAGATGATGGTGGAACTTTTAGCTGAGTGGAATGCCTATTTAGTTGGCAGACGCTTCAAGATTAAAACATATCACAAGAGTTTAAAGTTTCTCTTGGATCAACAGGCTAGAACGCCTGCACAATAGATGTGGATAACAAAGATGATGGGCTATGATTATGAAGTTTGTTACAGAATAGGGTCCTCAAACACAGTAGTAGATATCCCATCAAGAAATCGAACCATTCAGAATGCAAATTTGACGACTATATCAGTCATGAGTACAAGCCTGTTACAAAGGATATAGGACTCTTGGAGGTTTGATGTGAGGTTACATGGGATTATTCATGAGCTGCAGAATAATCCTAGACAGGACTGCAAATATACTTGGTATGGTAATCAATTAAGAAGGAAGGGGAAATTAATAGGCAATATTCTTGAGTTAAAATAGGAATTAATGGCCTACTTCCATGCCAATCCTTTAGGTAGTAACTTAGGAACACAAGCTACCGCAAACAGAATGTCTAGTATACCATACTAGAAAGGGAAGGGGAAGGAAGTTGGAAGGATGATTCGAGAGTGTGTTGTTTGTAAACAAAATAAATATGATAATACTACAAATCCTGGATTGTTACAGCCTTTACCAGTTCTTGACAGAATTTGGATTGCTATCAGTAAGGACTTTATTAAAGGTCTTCCCAAATAGGGAGGAAAAGATGTTATCTTTGTGGTAGTGGATTGACTTAGCATGCATATTTCCTCACCTTGGCTCATCCTTATATAGCATTGACAGTGGCTTAAGTCTTTATGGATAAAATTTTTAAGTTAATGGAATGCCTACTAATATAGTATCTAACATAAACAAGGTTTTTATGAGCACCTTCTAGAAAGAGCTTTTCAACAAATTTGAGGCCTTTTTGATGTTTTCAATAGGGTATCATTTGATGGGCAACCTAAGGTAGCGTGTTAAAGTGGCTTATCTCACATCTAATAAATATTCAATTTCCTATAGTTTTATATTCAAGTCGAGTCCTTCTATGTCAATTGGTTTTAAGTTGAATGCTTAACATGATATCAGAATCATGATTTCTTTTTATTATCCTTTCTAAATTTGTCATCTAGTAAGTTTCTTCCATCTTTGTCTACATGTGATGGGGCCTATTAAAGAAGGTTATCTCACATCTGATAGATATTCAATTTCCTCTAGCTTTATATTCAAGTTGAACCTCTCCACTTACTATTAATTGATTTTAAGTTGGATGCTTAACATAGTGAATAGGTGCCTCAAAACATACCTAATGTGTATGATTGGCGAAAGACTGAGGGAATGGAGTCCTTTGGCTGAATGGTGGTATAATACCACCTACCATTCATACATTCATATTTCCCCTTATGAAGCAGTTTATGGACAGCCACTGCTTTTGCACCTTCCTTGCTTTGCTGCGGAATCATTGGTTGCCACAGTAGATAGAAGTTTGCAAGCTAGAGGGGCTGCCCTTAAAATGCTCAAGTACTATTTGCGACGAGCTCAGGAGAAGATGAAAGTGATGGCACATAACAAAAAGATTGAAAGGGAATTTCAGATAGGAGACTGGGTATATTTGAAGTTACAGCCCTATAGGCAGCAAACTATTTGTAATTGGAGTTGTCTTAAGCTAGCTGCCAGGTACTTTAGGCCATTTCAGGTGCTGGAAAGGATTGGTAAGGTGGCAAATAAGTTGCAGTTACCACCAGGTTCACAAGTTCATTCAGTTTTTCATGTATCTCAGCCCAAGCAACATGTTGGCAATCAACCTGCTCAAGCTCAACTTCCTGTTCTGGGAATGGATGGTACAATTGTCAAGGAACCAGTGAAGATACTAGAAGAATGGTAAAAAGAGGAAACAGAGCTGTAACACAGGTGCTGGTGAATTGGGTTAATACATTTCCTGAAGACGCTACCTGGGAGATATTTTAGGATCTATAGCAACGGTATCCTGGCTTTAATCCTTGAGGATTTGTTTTAAGAGGGAAGTATTGACGTAGGCTCGAACTATATACAGCTAGATAAATAATGAATTGGATCACAAGTTGAGAGGCCGTAAAGTTTAGAGTCCAAATGTAATTAAGCCCATTACTTTGTTTCTGTTATTTGCATGCTGTTATCTGTTTTTACAGAATGTATTTGAAATTTTACGAGGAATTCCGAAATTTCAGGAGGGTGGCAAATTACATGTAAGTGGCATTGATTGTAAACGTTTATGTATAGAAATATCAGTGATAGCAATTCTTTCTCTTTATTTCTCTCTTTTTGCTCTCTTCTGATATCTTTTCCCTTGAATTTCTTCTTCTGTTTTTCACTTTTTCTCTTAAAATATTGGTGATATCAAGGTGCTTTCTGGGCATTCATCTGCACTTTGCCTATCAACTGATGCTAAATCACAAACCTGTCTTTAGTTCGATTATTCGTGACAATTTTGAGTACCCTAACCTTTTCATGACTGTCCTGTAAAAATTTTAAAAAGGTATTCTTCAATTTTTGTTTCTATCATTTTTCCTTTTTTTTTTTTTTTCAATTTTTTTGGGGTGGGGGGCAAGCTTGTTTTCATATGGAGTATCTGTGTATGTTTTTTATTCACGTGAAATGTTGTCATTTTGGATTAAAACCGAAATGACTTTTGACTATTAATGTGAAGAAATAAGCAATGATTCATTAAAAGTCAACATAACTCCAGGAGGAGCTAAGAACATGTTTTGCAAGATTGAGGCATGCTTTGCGTGGGTTTTAGAAGAAACTTATAATTGTTTAGTGTTGCATTTTGACTAGCCAAATTCAGAAGTGTTTTGGAGTTGCATTTTTTCTATGTTTCGTTTGCTGTTCCTATTGCACTTCACATGTTTGATAAATTATATAGTAGTAACAAAAAAGAAAAGACCATTTTCTATAAAAAACAATGGGGTTTTCACACTTCAGTCAAACGAAAATTATCTATCTCTTTGTTTGACTGGGAGTTAGGAGTACCAGAACATTGATAGAGATTGTGTTATGAAAAATCCCCTACCAGCCGAAATTGATTCTTTAAAATCCTTGTCAAATATGGGTTTCTAAGAGGCATATTTCTGAGCAGCTTGTTAGCACTTCTTCCCTTAAAATTTATTTCTTCCAATACAAGTATGTCACTCTCATTTTTTACCAATGTAGTTGGAATATATGCTATAAAACTATCTGGTCAGAAGAAAATTTAAATTAGGTAGGACAGAAAATAATCTGCACAAGTATGTTACATGGACTCTTCACTTTGCTTTAAATTACCTGTGTCACAACGCCGGTTGGACGCCTTGAATTCATATAGGTCTGATGCTTGGATCCTGCAAATTAACGTAATAAATTGCCAAAAAAAAAAATGATGCATAACCATGTCTAACATCATATCTTGAGTCCGTGAAATATAGGTGATAGCTCAATTTATATGAAATCAATGATCAATGACATTATGAGGAATGTACATGAATATGTATTTGTGTATACATGAACATATATTTCAAATTCTAGATATGCAAATTTAATTAATGTTACCATGTCATTATGTGCTTTCATAGTGATTTTTGCATCACATATAATGCAAAAGGATCTTGTTAATTACATGATCCGTTGGAAAGTACAGTGGGATTGTGCTGTTAGGTTAAGTTTTAGTTTAACTTTTCTGAGCCCTTGAAAAAAAAAAATTGAAGGAAGAAGAATTAAGGGATAAAATTGTTCATCCAAAAGGGAAAAATATAATTGGGCCTCTAGAAGTTCTTTAACTTTCTGTTTCATGACATTTTTTGTCCAACTTTTGTTGACTTATTTTTCAATTTAAATTCCTAAGTTTGGATTAAGTGAACTGCCTGAAATTTCTGCAATTGATTTTGCTGTTTATTACATGATTCCTTAATAAATAAATGTTTTCAATTTAAGCCTTATCGCTTATAACTAAGGACCTTGTTTCAGGAATTTGTTTTGAGTGTTGATTGTGATGAAGCCATGCTTGGGATAGGGAAGATAGAAAATATGCGAAAGTGCAGCTCGTTATTTATTCTTTACAGCTGGGAAACATAGAGTTCGCAGAACATTGGACAAATCATCCTAAAACAAGATGTCACAACTCAGCACATATCAGATATTTGTAAGTATGTTTTTGATTTCATATGAGAAATGATAATTATGCAGATACATTGCACAGGAGTTCATGTTTCTTAGGTTACTTGTTTTACCATCATTTGACATAATAATTTTGCTTGTTTCTCTGTGGAAGTTGGAACTAAGATTTTAAATGAATGAACACCCCCTTATATTCATGTTGTGGCAGGTATTATGATAAATGGTTAAACATCCTTGTAGCGTTTGTAGTTTAACTTATTTGTTCCTGTGAAACAAAAGATAGATAGTATAACCTGCTAGCATTATCTGGATGTGTTTTTACGGCTCCCAAAAATCATATATGATGGCCAAATGCTGGCAACAATTTTATTTGACTTTTATCTGGTAGACATTGAAAGTAAGTGACAAAACCAATAATGCATTCACTTGAAGGCAAAATTTTAACGTCTTATATTAAGTAGCCAAAAATAGATGGTGTTTGCTTTGTAGATGCCGAAGCGAGAAACTGCCTTTTGTTTTAACGTACAAAGTACTAGTTTCCCAGCAGACCTATCTGACAAAAGGTTACAGTCGCAACCCTACAACAATAGTCCCTACTTAATTATGATTTCATCTTTTTGTACAGCTGAAGTAGTGTGATAGGGTAAATTTTATTTACACGGTTAAAATAAGGTGAAAGTATGCATAAACTAATTCACACATTTTGTGCAAGTATATGTATCAGTTTCTTCGGAAGTGACGAAGGGCACTTTTCACTAATCCTTATTTTGGTTTCTGATGGTTGTTCCTACATTCTTGAGCCATTCAACAACTTCCTTGATAGTTGGCCTCTTGAAAGGATTCTGGTTGATGCACAGACAGGCCACATCCAGCACCTGCAGCATCTCTTCATCAGAACCCTTTCCTTTTAGGAGAGGATCCAAGACTTCATCTTGCTTGCCTTCACTCCTCATGTTCTGCACCCAGGCAACCAAATCTTTTGATGTTTTTGGCCTAGACATATCCACAGGCCTTTTACCAGTGAGCAGTTCAAGCATGACAACCCCAAAACTGTACACATCCCCTCTCAAAGTAGCTACCCATGCTTGCCCGTACTCTGGAGGAATATAACCCAAAGTACCAACTAGCTCAGTTGTAACATGAGTGTGATAAGGAAGAATCAATCGTGACAACCCAAAATCTGCAACATGTGCCTCAAACTTGTCATCAAGAAGGATGTTGCTCGACTTGATGTCTCGGTGAACAATGTGTGGCTCACATATTTGATGCATGTAAGCCAGTCCATTACTTGCTCCCCTAGCAATCTTTAGTCGAGTTTGCCACTCTAAATGGGATGGACCATCTGCTTTCTCATGTAACCAGTAGTCTAAACTTCCATTCTCCATGTAGGAATATATTAATAGCCGAGATCCTTCATGCACACAATACCCTTGCAGGGATACCAGGTTGTCATGTTGAGCTGTGGATAGAGCCTCTACCTCAGCTTTGAATTCCCTCTCCATCAGTCCGAAATCTCCTGAGAGCTTCTTAACTGCCAGTTTGGTCCCATCTGCTAATATTGCTTTGTAAACCAAACCAAAACCCCCACAGCCAATTATGTTTTCTTGATTGAAATTGTCAGTTGCTTTTAAGAGTTCAAATATGGTGAGATCCTTGACTTCATTGGTTTTGTTTGGAAACAACATAACAAGGCTAGCATCCTTGTCGGTTTGAGGTGGAGCTCCAGAATAAGTGTTGCTGGAAAATGTATGTAGTTCACTCTTATCAGTGTCTTCTCCTGGAATAATCCTTCTCTTGGACAATATCCACAGTGCTAGAACAGTAATAACAAAAGCAGTGCCAAAACAGAGGCCAAGAACAAGCCCAATGACAAGTTTTGTGTTTAAGAATTTTGGAGTAGTGGTAGAATGAGAAATTCCTGTTGCATTGGGGCAAATGCGCTGCACAATTGAACCACACAGACCTGGATTCCCTTCAAAACTAGAGCTGGTAAAAGTATCAAACTGACCTCCAGATGGTATCGGTCCATGAAGATCGTTGTATGCCACACTGAACGAAGACAAAAAGTGAAGGCCTCTTAATGATGCAGGAATTTGGCCAGAAAGCCGGTTGCCAGAGAGATCCAATTTTTCCAAGTTTGTGAGATTTGATATTTGATCTGGAATGCTGCCAAAAAAGTCATTCTGGCTGAGATCTAACACATGAAGAAACTTCAATCGACCAATCGCCTCAGGAATGTTGCCACTGAGGTTGTTGTTTCTCAGATAAATAGCTGGTGGAAGGCTGGAGAGTTGGTTATACAGCTGCTGATTGGTAGCATTATTAGGCATGACAAACACAGGGAGCTCTAGGTAAGTTCTATCTACTTCATTGTTAGACTCTTGTGTTGCCAGTGCCCACAGACTTGTCAGCTCCTTGGGAAATTCTCCTGATATAAAGTTATCAGACAAGTCTATGTAGAAAAGGTTTCGTAGGCCGCCCAACCATCTGGGAATTAAACCAGTGATTCTATTTTGGGACAGGTCTAGCACCTCTAGATTTTTCAGCTTAGCTAGCCAGGTGGGGACTTGACCAGTGAAGTTGCAACCTCCTAGGCCCAAAATCTGGAGGTTTTGAAAGCCTTCTTCTGCTACTATATCTCTATCGTTGGGTATTGCTTCATTCATGAAGTTTTTAGTGAGGATGAGAGTAGTGATGTTCTTGAATCCCATCAAAATCCTTATTGCCCCAGTAAAATTGGTTAGTTTATTAGTAGAAATTGAAAGGAATGATAAAGATTGCAGTGCAAGTATAGCGGATGATATCTGTCCCTCTAGCTGGTTACTAGCCAGCCTTACTGCAGTTAGTGACTTGCAAGAATAAAGACTTAAGGGCAAGGTACCTCTAAAGTTGTTGTTGCCGAGGTCAAGAGTGTTAAGGCGTAGGAGAGCGGAGAAATTAAAGGAGGAGAGATCTCCTTCCAGATGGTTGACCCCCAAATTTAAAGTGATGAGATTGGTGCAATTCATGAGAGATGGTGGCAGAGAACCAGTGAAGTTGTTGATGTGAAGGAGCAGACGTTCCAACTTCGAAAGCTGACCAATGTCTTTCGGGATGGGCCCCTCAAACTCATTGGAAGAGAGATCAAGGATAGTAAGGTCGGTGAGTTGAGCAATGGCATCTGGGATTCGCCCGGAAAGGTGATTTAGCGGTAAGGACAGTTGTTGAAGTGAGGTAACAGTGTAAATATCAACAGGAAGTGTTCCAGAGAGATTATTATAACCTGCTCGAAAAATCTGCAGCTTGGAACACTTTTCAAGTCCAGAGGGAATTTCACCATTAAGTTTGTTGTAAGATAAATCCAAGAGGGTGAGGGAAGTATTGAGGCAGATCGAGGATGGAACCTGGCCGGTTAAAGTATTGTTGCTCACATTGAAAAAAGTCAAATTCCGGGCTGCCTGAAGAAATGAATTAGATTGGATGGTCCCTGAGAAGCGGTTGCTGGAAATATCCACTATCTGGATGAGGCTGAGATTGTTATTATCATCTGAAAAGAAATCCAGAGACAGTTCACCATAGAGACTGTTGTAGCTGAGATCAAGAACTTGGAGGCGATTGAGGGAGGAAAAAAACCCAATGGGCAGAGAGCCTTTGAAGCAATTGCGAGAGAGATTAAGGTGAGTTAGAAGTGAGAGATTTAGCAGAGATGGTGATAGATGTCCACTTAGGCCTCTAGAGGGTAGCCAAAGCTGGGTGACCCGATCATCATCTGAAGCAACACAGCCTACTCCTTCCCAAAAGCAACAGTCTACAGAATTAGACCAATTCAAAGGAGACGATGATGGCAATGTGATATTGGAATAAAACAACAAGAGAGAATCCCGATCGTTTTGGTTGCAGGCAGCGTGACAAGGAGAGGCAAAGAAGAAAGACGGTAAAAGTAATAAAAGAAGATATAAGAGCAAGTGAAGCATGGAAAATGTTCTTGGCCTTGAAGTTGAAGCACCAAGACTGGTCTTTTTGTCATCTCGGAACAAAGTAAGAAGCAGAAGAAGAAGACATGAGGAAGAGAAAAAGTTGGCCAGGTACATTATTATCTGGTCTTGGTTAGCTTGTACAGGATGGAAGATTGCAGTAAACATCCCATTGACCTCCAAGAAGAAAAGAAGTAGAAAGAGAGTGCTTTCGTGAGTGACGTTTAGTTGTTTATATTATGATGGTCAGTTAACAAAAGGAAAAGAACAAAAAACAAGGCAAGGGGCTTGTTGGTGGTATTATTGTTTATAATGAAAAAGAGAATTTTCATTGAGAGTTTACTTTTGAGGCGGCTGGTAGTGTATTTTGCCACTGTGGAATGGTGGATTTTTTCCAAGATGATGATTGATTGATGACGAAAGGCTGAAAGCGTGCGGGTGCGAAAGATTTAGAGAGATACCTAAAAGCAAAAACAGGTTCTCCTCTTTCCTTAACCTTTCCCCCTTGTCCAATTGATGTTTCTTTTTTGGAGTCGTAGTTGACTGTCTAGTGCCTGTGTGCTGTGCCTATCTACCCTGTTGTTGGTTGAGACTTGAGAGTGGTGTTAGCCTTGCTTTGTCATGATAGCTAAGTTCCTCGTGTCTTCCCTTTAAATTTTAATTGCTAAAATTGCTATCATTCAACAAGCACCCTTCCTTTTATTCTTGTTTAATCACATCATATCATCATATCAATATATTTTACAATGCAAAAAGAAGAAAAAATCAGCAAGAATCATCACAACCCTGTATTTCTTGTTATTATCACTCTCTTTTTTTATTCCAACTTACTCCAATTGGGACATACTCATCTTTAAAGAAGTTGTTCATTCTTAGTTTTTAGAGCAAATCTATTTTCTAGAAAATAAATGTTAAAAAAAAAAATAATTGACCCGTCAACATATTTAGAATTTGGACTTAAAACAGCTAGAAAATAAGGCCTCTCATAACAGATTTACCAACCCCAGTCTTTAACTTATTTATTCCTGAGCTTGCCCACTTGCCATAAAATAGCCCAAACTCTTCTTTTGAACTATAAAATATTCCCAAGTCTAAACCCTATGTACATGCAATAGTTTATTTTAATACAAGGTGGCAGACAAGAGATCTAGGTGTCATGCATTCCTGGATTTAGAGCTGATAAACCTGTGCCAATTTTGGTGGATTGCAGCTACGTCTCTTCATATTTCAATTTTAACCAAATTAATAGATTGATTGATTGATTATTAAATTATTTTTAATTAATTTTTAAAAATAATAATGAAAGAATTTTAATTTTTGATTAATTTAGTTTAATTGAAATATAAAAAAATTCAAAAATAAATTAAAAAAGAATGAAGTGGACTGTTTCATTTTATAGATTCATTTTATAAAGTTTTTAATTTAATATTTTGATATTTAAATATTTTATTAAATGATTTTATTTAATTTGTTTTAAATATAAAAAATTTAAAATTTAATTTAATTTAAATATATTTTACTTTTGGATTAATTCAAAAAATTAATCAAATTAAATTCAAGTTATTAAATTTTTTAAATTAATAATTTTGATTTGATTAATAAAAAATAAAATAATTAAATCAATTGAATTTAAGTAATTCGATTTTAAATTAATGGAATTGTAAAAGGGCTTTCAATAATTGTTATTAAATTGCCCTAGCCCTCATCATCAGCTAACCACCCCGCCGTCTTTATTAGCAATGCCGATTAGATTGTGGCAAGGGATTTCAATGGTTCTAGAGCTGGAGCAAATACACCACTAAAAATAACCAGAGCCACCGTTATCTTAATTATGCTGCTTATATATGTAATGTACCCAAAAAAAAAAAAAATCTTAATTATGCTGAAACCACGTTCTTAAGGATGAAGGGAATATTTACTGTGCTTATCACTAATTAAGATAACAGTCATAGAAATAATTACTAATTATTACACTATTCTTCTTTGAAATTAGTAAGAATAATCTATTAAATGAACAACAATATTTTTTAAAATAGTACTTTTAACTTAACAAAATTTTGAGCAAAGAGTTTGCCTGGCAAAGTAGATGTTGCAAGTAGAGATGTGACGAGTCAAATACAATACCAAAAAAAATTGTTTTATATTGACGCTAAAAAATTTATCAGTAAAATTTAAAAATTTATCGATATAATATAATAAACTCTATACTAATGATAAAAATATTTATCTGACATATAATCGTTAGTATATCTCTTATCGGTATAAATTTATACTAATAATTTTTAAGTTATCGAAATATGTAATAAAGATATACTAATGATTTTAATCAGTCACTATATGTATAGCTATTGGTATAACAATTATTGTGTGCTACATACTATACTTTTTATCGATAGTTATTCTCATCAGTATAGACTCATATATTTTAATTTTTTTCAACTTATACAGATGATGTTTCCATTAGTATATTTTTTTACCAACGGTCAATATCCATTAATATAACTTTATATGTTTTAACTTTTACCGACGGTCCGTGATGACTGTCAGTATAGTCTGAAATATTTTAATAGTAAAATGTACCAATATATTTTTAAAAGCGTCGGTAAAAACTTTTTAATTATATTTCAAATTATTAATATTAATTTATTTATAATCATAATGTAATATGATTTCATATAAAGTAAAAATACACAAAAAAATAATAATATTTAATAACATTTAAAATAAAATAACAATTAAATTTTTTTATAATCCATAAATTTAAAATAAGTCAAAAACTATCATCATTGTACCAAATCCAAAAAAAAATAATATATATAATTGAATGTCTATAAATATTGGTGCTCGAAGTAAATAAACAACTCTCCAAAGTAAGATGATGCCATCCAAATTGGTTCAAATACCTGTTTAATTAATAAAACTCAATAAAGAATTCAATGTCAAATTAAACTTTTACCAGGCAATTAACATAGGAAATACTCCAAAGTCAAGTCAAGCATACCAAAAACTATAAACAAATGAATTGCTGACAAGATTTTGTCCACTGTTATAGGCTTCCCCTGCTTCACCAACTTAAGCAACTGCTGAAGTTGCTGAATTCTTTAGAATTATTTAAAGATCTCTAAAGGGCTGCTGCCCACCATCTAGATAAGATAGATCTAGGATTTTATTCAAAGTTAATTATCATTACCTACATATAGGGAAAATATATAATTTAATAACTAAATTCCAAGAAATATTTTTTAAACAATGCAATTTACTATTTTATTGTACTTGCATCAAAATTGTAAATGTGTTGAGTTACTACTTGCAGATATTTGAGTTTTTTTATTCAAATTATGTAAATCAGTTTGCATAAAAAAATCCTCCTAGTACTATTATTAATAGCTGAACCTCAAATCCTTTATATATATTTTGAATAGTGTTTTGAAAATTGTTCACATCAGATGCATATTAATATGCTGCAACTCTTATTCCAATGCCAAAGCCCTGTGTTGGAAGTAAAAGGCATTGGATCCAGGTAAAAGGAAACTTCATCTAGTTGTTTAAATGTTAAGAAATAGACAAATTACAAAGCTCATGAAGATGGTAATAAAATTTACTTACCCAGATTTTTTGAAGAAAATGTTGAGTTCATCCCGTCTAGACATAGGTAAGCAACCTGTTGAGAAACCAAACATCTCTGAGCTATTTATAGTAAATGGTGCACAAGGAACCTTTGCTTCATTTTTTTATTGATTTTAGTCAGATATGAACAATCTGATTACACCTTAATATGGCAATAATCTGCCATCCTTTACAAATTTTGACCAAATAGAGAAAATTTTATCAACCAATTACGAGAAAACATTAAAACAAAGATGCATTACTAAAATTGTCAAGAAAATGGAGATTATGTTTTGTTTAAAATGAACCCCAAACATTCAATCGTCCTAAGCTATTACTTTTTCACAAAACATTCAATCATCAAAGCCAATGCTAGTAAAAGGACAAAAAAAAATAGGCATGCTTGATGACACAAAATTGAAATGCAAAAAATGAAAAATACCTTTGAGAAATGACGCTTCAACTTTGATTCAGCTTTAAAACAAAAAAGGTGCTGATGGTTTTAAGTTTGTATAGTTAGTGAGAAGTGAAGAGAGGTGGTGGAAGATGGAGATTAGGTTATGGGTACCGATAAGTAGAGAGAGTTGGTGGGAAATGAAAATTAAGTATGTAAAGTCGGTGGGAGGTAGCGAAAAAAAATGATTTAAACATTTTATAGATTATTCAAGGCATTTTTGGCTAGAAACGTCTTAAATAACCCCATTCAATTTTTTATAAAAGATTATTCAAAGCATTTTTAGCCATAACACTTTGAATAATCCGTTATAAAAAATTAAATAGGGTTATTTAAGACGTTTTTTAATCAAAACGCTTTAAATAATCTTCTTCAATTTTTATGAGGGGAATAGGATTATTCAAGGCGTTTTTTACTAGAAAATATCTTGAGTAATCCCTTCTCATTTTTTTGTGGAATCATTTAAGGTGTTTTTGACCAAAAAACGCTTTGAATAATCCTTTATAAAAAATTGAATGAGGTTATTCAGAATTTTTTGACAAAAACACCTTGAATAATCTCTAAAAAAAGGGGAGGAGATTATTCTTAGTCTAAATAATATCTTTTAATTACAAAAATACTAGAGTAGTTCAATCGATTAGAGCATATAGTTGTTAGCCATAAGATTATAAGTTCGATTTTTTCCTCCAAAATTTTGAAACGATTATTCAAGGTGTTTTTAAACAAAAACGTATTGAACCTTAGGTATCGCACTTTTTTGAGATCACATTTTCCCTCAGAATTTATTATTCCATGAACCAAATGCCTTTTAATTTTTTTTTCAAATAAAGGCCAATAGTTTTTTATTGTGAGCTTATATTGATGGTTACATTAATAACCGTATATATATAACATATTTATACTGATAGATAATCATATACCATCATAAAAGTTTATTTATATTGACAGTTAAATAAAAATATTGGTATAAGTATGATATATTATGAAGGTATTAAAAATCTATCAGTAAAAATCTCTTTTATTAATGTAATTTGACTATCAGTATAACTAAGTGTCAGTATATGAAAAATTTTTTATAGTGATAGTAGTCTTGAACTTTACTTGATAAATATTTGTATTTTATTAATTTATTGTAGCTTGAATAAGCGGCTTATTTGAATTTGAATTTTGCAATACTTGATTTGAGTGATTTATGAGTGTAATCAAAATTTTAAATAATTTAATATTATATAAATAAAAATATAATATTTATTTACATATTTTTAAATTTTATTGAAATTATGATTTTAAATTTAAATTTCAATCTAAATTAAATTTTAAATTTTTTTATGTAAATTAAATCGAGTTTTAACAGTTTGATTATTTATATTTATAGTTATTTATCAAACAAGAGATAAAATTTTAACAGATGAATTTATTTTTTGTTTAAAGATTTGGATTGGAATGAATATCTCGGTTTTTTGTTTTATTTAAAAAAAAAACACATAAATAAATACTTGGATTGAAGCAATGACAGTTCTGGTATAATTCCAGCAAGATCTGAAAGGAACACAATACAAGTATGATTAATGCAGGTAGTGGGGAGGGGAGGGATATCCTTTGTTTGGGAAATGAATCCAAAAGATGAGTGGAGAAACATCACTGATGGGCTTTGCTGGAAATCCAACGAGGGTTGAAATCCTATTTTCACCACATTTTTATTTTGAAAATGACAAGTTGACAACCCATTAGCTACAGTGATGCTTACCTTAAATGCCACACCATTCACTCAGCCACCATTTCTTCACACTTCACATCGTGCGTCTAAAGCCACTATTTGAACCCTGTTTCCTGCTGCAGCAGTAGTAATAATTTATTAGAAATTATTTAATTTATTGATAGTTAAATTTTTAATAAATTTATTAATTTATATATTTATATTGTATTTATATCATATTAAATATATATAATACAAAAAATTATATTATTAAATTTATATTGATATATCAAATATAAAATATATATTTTTTTATTTTATCAAAATTATATATATTTTTCTAAAATTTTAAAATATAATATTTTTATTTTTTATATTATTTTGTATTATATTATCATATCATATTTTAAATTATCAAATTTAATTTTAAACTTTATAAATTAACAGGGGATTCTTATGCCTTTGGATATATTAAAAAATAAAATATATGTCAATTTTTTAATCTCACAAAATTAAAAAACTTCACTAATAATATATAAAATAATTTTTTTCGTAATTTATTTATTTGGACAAACGAGTAAATAATTTTATTCAAGTATTTGGGCTCTATTACTGGGCTATTAAAAGCCCAAAAAACCCGTATAAATTGTCCAAGATGATAAATGAGTCCAAAAAAAAAAATACCCAAATCTACAAACCAGGCCTGTCATCCGCTCTCTCTAATTCCCAGTTCCGACTGGTCGATGAAGAAGACCAGACAAAATTCAACGGCAGCCGAAGCTGCTTTTCTCAAACGGAAGAGGCCAGGTAACGTAAATGAATTACATAACTGCTTTCATTAAAAAAAATTGAATAATTTTTGTTTCCAGTTAAGAAGAAAAACGGGAAGAAGGAAGGGAAAGAAGAGGGAATTATTACTCCTTTAATTGAGAAATATTGGTTTCAAAGGTACAGTCTTTTTTCAAAATATGATGAAGGAATTAAAATGGATGAGGAAGGCTGGTATTCGGTTACTCCCGAGGAGATAGCCATTAGGCATGCGGAGAAGTGCGGTGGTGATGGACTTGTCATTGATTGCTTTTCCGGTGTCGGTGGTAATGCCATCCAATTTGCTAGACTGTAAGTCTCACCAACAATACTCTTCTGTAGAAATTTAAATTTAAAAATACTATAAGGAAATGTTTCGGATAATTAAATTCATAATTTTTTTTTTTTTTTGCTTCTCTTACAAATACGTTTGAATTGGTGATTGAATTCCAGTTGTAGTTTGTTTCTAATCAATTATGATTTTGCTTTTACTTTAAGTACATAAGAATCGGACGAAACCTTATTTACACCATGTATAACAAATATAATGATAATCAGTAAAGTGCTTGTTTTTGAACTTCTGTTTGTTATGAGTTTGGTTACAAATTTTTTGAATGGACTGACTGAATAACATGAACTTTGTACTTGCTTTCAAAGGATTTCGTTTTGCCTAAAAGTGGAGAGACTTGGGTAATGGAGGTGGGCTGCAAAATTTTGAGCAATTGATCTAAGTTTCATTGTAGTCTGTTTTACGAGGAAACTTACTGGCATTGCTAAGTCATGGAATAAGTATATAAATTAACCTAACTAGGTATTTTACTTCTTCTTATTAGGCATATGGCGTCCGGCTAGAAGTCTTGCAAGGCACTAGAAGTCAATTTTGGCAATAATTATTCAACTTTATCCTAATTGGAGACTAGAATAACTCCAAAATCACATCTTCTAATGAAGTTTGAAAAGCAATGTCATTAGGATAAATTTGAAGATTTACATGTTTGTTCTTATTGGAGATTTTCAAAGTCAAAATGTGTCAAGCTTGTCTTTCTAATTGACCTTTCGGAAGCTTGTACATAATCTATGAATAATCTTTAAGTTTGTTTGTCTTTTTGAAACTTATCTATTTCCTTGAATTCAAGTTATGTTTTCATTTTCCCATGTCTACTGTATATTCTATGGATCAATAGGAGCTTTCTAACTGGTGTTTTTACTTTTTAAGGTGTACTTTTGTTGTTGCTATTGATATTGATCCTCAAAAAGTTAATATGGCCTTTAACAATGCAAAGGTATATGGAGTGGAAGATTATATTGATTTCATTGTTGGAGACTTTCTCATGCTTGCTCCATCTTTGAAGGTATTTAATCTTCTTTTATGAATGCTACTAATTTGGATTTATATTTATGGCTGGGCTGAGCTTAAGTGATTTCTAAGTTATGATGCCCATTGATGAAATTAATTATTTACTGATGAAGCCATTCCAGTCCTTTGCATTACTTTCTGTTCTTCTATTGAGTCTGTTTTGGTTTTCTTCAGATGAGTTGTTGCATGGAACTTTTTGTGACTTGAATGAACTAAGGATTGAAATCCTCTTAGTATGCCCTATTAGTTGACGATATCTGCTAAGATTTTCACTCAACTAGAGCTTTTTTCGTATTGTAAAATTGTTTTCGCATGCTCATTATTGTGCATATTAAAATAACTTCTTCACTTCAGTTGCAAGCAACCAAGCATCGTTTATTTCACATTGTTCTAGGGATTAAACCTTATGAATTTTCAGTTTAAATTTTATTTTGCCTTGGAGGGTAGTTATTGAAGATTGGCCTGGCCACCTAATTTTTGTAATGATATGAATTCCCTATAATTTCAAAACCCTGGCTTTGAAACTTCATCAACCAAATTAGTTGTGATATGTCAGGTGAGTTACCTTATTTGCTGTTGTCATATGCTGGATGGGTATGCATATTCATTAAGGAATAACAATTCAATTTCCAAACTAATGGTCCTTGTCCACGAAAGTACTTTTTGTTATTAGAGTTATCAATTTTCTCCTTCTCTTCTTCCTTTCTTTAGTAGCAGGTTAGAATGGATGGCAGAATTCAGGTTAGGGGGAAGGTAAAATTCCTTTTCTGGCTAGTATGTGGATTTAGTGATTTTATCAATAGGATGCATATCTTTTGATCACCTAGGAGCTTGCATTCTAAGTTATCAATTGGTTAGGCTATTAGCCAGAAAAGTTTTTGTACCAAAGCTATCATCAAACGTTTAAAGTAAAAGCTCAATAGATTGATGTCTTAATTGAATTCTGTACAACAAACTCCATTGTGACTGTACGAAAACTATCAGTAGATGCATTTGTTGCCGTTTGCCAGAAAACCTTTTTAGCAAATGCTATTATACGCTATGGAATATTTGAATAAAAGCCATCTTTGGCTTAGAAATTGTTTGATTAATGCTGTAATAATTGTAGGAAACAACAATTTTATGTAGTGACTTTTCTTATTTGTATCACATACGTTAGAAACTGGCTGGTAAAAGCTCCTTATCTTGTCCCTTTACCTTATTCCTTCTTTGCCATCATGAAAATTCATTAAGCATATGACAAATACTACCTCAGTTCCTTCCTATTTGTTCAGAATTGATAGTGAATTGAATAAAAGAGGAATCATCTCATTATTATCATTCTCATCATCATGAAGAGAATTTAAAATTTTGATTTGTTGAAACTTCTATTTTTATTCCATTATGATTGTCAAATTGTGTTCGTGTCATTACTGCTATGTCTCTCTTGTCTGGTGTTATTCATTTCCCTTAGGAATAGTTAAATCAAAGTTAATCTTTTAGTATGTACCAAAAAAAAGTTAATCTTTTACTTATGAAGATTAGCTTGATGGATATGCAGAAATTGAAATTAGGTTAAATATTTCTTGGAGATATGGCAAATGAAATAGGCAATTGCTAGGAAGCTTACTGTATGCACGTAACCTTTTTAGTCAGAGTTAATGTGTTTCTAACCAGCTGACACACTTGACTATTTTTCCTCTACAATTTAAAATCATACGATAAAATTATGTGTCGGTTTGTGTTCCTTTCAAGAAATGCTTCTTCCTTGAAGTAGACAAATTCTAATTAAAATTATTTTTGCATTTTAGGGGGATGTAGTGTTTCTTTCACCACCATGGGGTGGTCCATCCTATAAAAGAATTGAAAGTTTCACCATGGATTTACTGAAGCCAAAAGACGGGTACGACTTTTTCTGTTTTGCATTTTATTATGTTTAGGATTGTGAAATTTGTTCAACTTCTATCACTTTAGCTACAAGTAACCTTTTATCCATGTGACTATTCTAACATTTTATGAACAATAGAGGTCTTATGGTTTGTTGTCCATTGTTCATTTACTTATCATCAAATGTTATAGTATCTTTTACCCCAAAGGCAAGACGACAAGCTTATACCATGACAATCTTTAGTCACCTATGAAAATGCAGGGAAAGTAAACTTACTTGGTTTTGATTATTGAATTATATAATTTATCTAGGTAGAAGGATAATTTTTGTTTTTTCATTTATGAGCCTTTGTTGAGCTGCATTAGTACTGTACATAGGAGGGAGAACTCACCTTGGAAAACCGGATTGCCAAGGGAGGGAGCCCAATCACTTATAAGTCCTAGAATATCTCTCTAGTTAGTTGATGAGAGAAATTTTCCCCTACCATACTCCCCCAATCTAGGCTTTGCATCCTGGCAAAGGGCACCGATGCTGCAAGGTTGGCTCACCACCAAGAGGGACCTCCCTCAAGGATATAGTGCTAGAAGAACTGCAGCTGAGAGTGGCTTTGATAACATATGATACCTGACAAAGAGAAACAAACAAGGAAAGCCAACCGAATGGGAATCGTTAATCAAAAGACCAAGGAGTTACAAAAATCACCACTCAATGGAATTTTAAGTGAAAATAGGTAGAAGGCTGACCATGAAGATTAAATCACTAAAGGATACTTCTCAAAGGATATAAACCAAGAATTCATAATCAAATAATTCATCACTCAATGGAAATCCACCAAGGAGATGCAGAGTTTATGGATTACAATCTCAAAAAGACTTATTCTGCTGATAATAAAATCAAGGTTGGTTTTCTCACCTTACAAAAGACTCAAATGTTAGCATGGAAGAACCTTCCAAGTATAGAATACTATGAAAATAAATTGTTAATGCAAATATCTAAGTCATCATTCTAGTCCTAAGTTAAGGAAAAGATAAGTTAATCAAACAAACATCTCAAATCTCATGTAAGTTGACTAGAGGATCTATCTATGATAAACTAGCGTTAACTTTTGATAGGAATGTTCAAATGCTATGCTGTAAAATGTGTTGGAAAGTTGAGGTACAGAGCTTTCCAACCATGTATGGCATGCTTGTTAACTAATTGGTATTCAATACAGATCAAGTCCCTAAGTTACGCATAGAAATCTTACCATTGGACCTATCTATAATAAATTAGACATAGCTTTCTATAGTGATTTTCCAATGGCAACCATGTATGACATGTCTGTTGACTCATTTCTAGTCAATACAGAATAATTTTCAAATTAGGCCTTTTCATGCCAAGTGCAATTTTCATGGAAAATTTTGTGATGTCATCATTGATAGTGACAGCTTCAAGAATGTGGTGTCCACTCTTAGTGAAGAAGTTGGGACTTAAAATTGTGCTGCATTCTCACTCTTACAAGTTATTATCAGAAACATGTTCTGTGGCACAATGGAAAGGATTAACATTTTCTCCATCATCACCATTTTCTACATTACGCCTTTGAAACTCTTCCTCATGTTCCTCAAAGAGTTGCAAACATTGCTGGAGTTACTGAATTTGCTGTCTTAACTCATTAATGATACCATCTTGTCGATCCACTTGAGGAGCTATCTCTCTTTCAATAATTGTTGCATTATGATGACTACCAACTATTGAAAAACCAATGTTCAGATGCGAAATTGATTGTACAAGTGGAAAGAGAATTAATGATCATTTACACAAAAGTGTCTATGATCATAAACTTAGATCAAGTTGCAAAGGAGTTTCAAATTGTAACTCTAATTTGTTGAGTAACACATTTCTGCAGAAGGGCTAATTTGAAAATTATTCTATATTGATTTGGAATGAGTCAACATGCGTGTTATACATGGTTGGAAAGCTCTGTCTCTTAACTTTCTAATACATTTTACAGCTTGTCATTTGAAGATCGTTAAAGTCAACTATGTCTTATTTATTTTAGATAGGTTCATTGGTTAGATTCATGCACATGGCATAATTTTGAGATTTAATCTGTATTGATTGACAATGAGTTAGTAGGCATACCATAAATGGTTGGAAAGCTCTGTTTGTTAACTTTCCAACACATTTTATAGCATGGCATTTGAACATTCTTAATTAAAGTTATGGTTAATTTATCACATATGGGTCTTTTGGTCAACCTACATGGAATATGATAAGTTTGTCTAATTACCTTATGTTTCATTGACTTAGACAATAATTATGGCTTAGATATTTTATTTAATAATTTATTTTCATAGTATGCTATGCTTGAACGGTTGTTTCATGTAGTGGTATTTATTTGAGTCTTTGGTAGAGAGTGAGAAAACCAACCCTTGATTCTATTATTGGTTGAATTATAGTATTTTTGAGATTGTAATTCCTAAATTTTGTATCTCTTTTGGTAAGTTATTTAGTTTTGTATCTTTGATTTATATCCTTTGGATGGTGATTTTCTATATCTTTTAGGTAGTATTTGATATTACTTTCAAGATCAACAGGATAATTTAACTGAAGTTATATTATTACTAAAGTGATCTTATCAGTCGTAATTTAGAATCACTTTGTTTAGTTAATAATTATTAATTTTTAGAAATTAAAGATCATTGTATTTGGTAATATTAAAAATCAAATATCATTTTGTTTGAAAATATCAAAATAACCATGTATATTATAATAGTTTCAAATATTAATGATTTCAATGTTTTTGAAAAATGGTAATTTGTAAAATATTAATATTATTTTATTTATTTTATAATAAAATATAATTACATTATTAAATTAACAAATATATTTATTGATAGAGAAACTAATTTTTATAATATACATTATGTAAAAAACATTTGAATTAAAAAATAAAACTAATCTATTAAAATCATAACAAAAAGAAAAAAAATTATATTATATATATAAATATTAAAAAAAATAGAAGAAAGCACTCAAATTATTTTTAACTTATTACAATGAATATTAATTTGAAAATATAAAAAATTATAATATAAAATAATTAAATTTTGAAAAGAATGAAGATTTAAATTCACATTTTAAATGGATAATATTGATTATTATTAATTTTACATATCACTTCTCTTGATAATAAAACTTTTTCACTTTTTTGGATGGGAATTAGATCACTATTCAAGATAGTGATTTGATCACCCTCGATCACCGTTACATAAGATTACTAAATGTACTTGCCAAACACTGTTATATAATTATCATGTGTAAATCATCATAGTTTTTTAGATGATCATCCCATAGCAAATACTATCATAGTAATTTAATTTTGGTGGTAAGCTTTCTACCTTTTTTCACTTAAATTTTGTTGAGTGGTAAACTGGTAATTTCTTTAACTCATTGGTCTTTTGGTTAATGATTTTTATTCATGAGCTGTCCTTATTTGTTTCTCCTTGTCCTGCGTTATGCATAAGCTTGGTTCATAAGCCAAAAGTCTCTGAACTCTTGCTGAATACAATTCTGTAAAAGGACTAATTGAGAATGAAAACTCTAAAATAAATTGATAAGACATTTGATTACTAAATGTGTGGAATTACCCAAATTACAGTAAAAATATCAATGATTAGAACTAAAGTACTGAATCATTTTAACATGGTGCATTGAGGCATCAACTTGATTGAATTATTTTCCCACTTATTTTCAATATATGTTCTCTTACTTAATAAGGATAGCATAAAAAAAAGACAAATACTTGTTGTTGATTCATTTTGCAGTCTCAAAAATCAATAAATATATCATATTGGGTCATATGATTTGCATATGTTTTTCCTGAATCACTGCATGTGTTCGTTTCTTTTTCCTTTTAATTTTTTTAACCATTTGAATGCCTATTACTAACAGCCTTCATGTAAAAGTTAAAGTGATTCTTAAACATTTGGCAAATATTGACTAAAATATCACTTTTGTTTTTCTCTTGGAAAAACAAAAAACAATTTTTGTTGTTTTGACTGAAGATTTTTTGCATGTCAACATTATCTTTTTTGCTTTCTTATTTGTTTATGTATGTTTTCCTATTTGTAGATACTCAATATTTCAAGCCGCACAGAGGATAACACCTAAGATCATTATGTTTTTGCCTCGGAATGTGAACTTAAACCAAGTCGAAGAACTTTCATGGTTGTCTTCTCCTCCTTTGAGCATTGAGGTATAGCAAGTGAACTTCTCCAAATTATGCAAACGCATTAAGTTACAAACTTTTTGGCCCTTATTTTTAATATTTGCCTTCCTCTAACAGCATTGAGTTGGAATGCGCAGTTGGAGTTAAACTATTTGGAAGGCAATTTCAAGGGCATAACTGTCTGCTTTGGTAGCAGTGCGTGCAGTTCAGTCTTATAACCATAGTTTCAGAGAGTTAATCGTTAGTTTTATCTTTTCCTTTCTGGGGAGAATAGGGAGGGTGGGCGTTGGGGTTGAAGTGGGAGGATTAACACCTTTAGGCTTCAGTTGACAGTGTCCCTGGGTTTTGAACAATGGACCTGCGGGTTGCCAGATTTGAGCTACTGAATTTGGAGCTAATGCTCACTGAGCTCAAAGCCTGTGGTACAATTTCTACTATTGTAGCCATCTAGATGTGGAAATGGAATGTTAAATAATAGTGCTTCATAATGTGATGAATGACACTTTAAATCTGCACCATATTAGTTTTCTTATTATTTGAGCTTTCTCTTGTTTTTTCTTTTACTTTATTGGAGATTTCTCTTGATTGAGAAGGTTTGGTGCTTTTCTAAGTATAACGTGTGGTAGTTTTCTAATATTACTTCTTTGTGCAAATCAAGCACCGTAGAAAGAAAAGTGAAGGTAAAATCATAAGAGAGTATCCGATCGCCATAAATAAGGAGCAAAAATGGGTTTCAAGCACAAACAAACATCAATATGCAAGTTTTGCATTTGCTATTATTCCTTATGCGTATAAAATGCTTCTTAATTAGCTTGAGCATCAACAAACTAAAATCCAAGAGTTAATGTCTTGAATAGTTTTTAAACTATAACAAAGTATTTAATATAATGTCTAAATTATAAAAATTTTAATGTGATATATAGAGTAATAATTTTTTAAACTAATTTGATACTTATTCAATTATCCTTTACATGGTGTGCTCTAAATTAACATGTGATTGACAAAGTCTTTTTAAGTATCACATTAGTTAAAGATATTTATAAATTAGATATCACATTAAAATATTTTAAAATTTAAAAATCACATTGAATATTTCATTATAATTTAAAGATCGATTAATACATTAATCCTAAAATCAATTAGCAGCTTCAATTTGAATATAAAATTGCAACAACCTCAAAATTTAATTTATACAAAGAGGGCATTTGGTTCGTAGAATTTTAAATTTTGAGAGAATGTGATCCCTGAGAAAGTGTGATACTTGAGGTTTTCTTTTATTTTTAGGGCATCTTATATTCAGATTCACTCATTTAATATGGAAAAATCCATATATATTAATTTTTGTATAATTATCATAATTTTCTTAAAATACATAATGTCAACTTTTACTTTTGTTGTATTAATAATAAATATCCAAACGACAAATGATACTTTTAGCAGCAAAAGAAAACAAATATTTTAATTGATTGTTATTTTTATTTATAAAATATTATTAATTGAGGCATTTCAAAGCATTAAAGCTTTAATTGATAAGAAAAATTGGTATAAAAAAGATCATTTAAGGCATTTGGCATTTTACACGTGTTAATTGGTCTTTTTATTTTTTTATAAAAGGATCATTTAAGGCATGATCCTTCTATAAAATTTTTTTAAAAAATTATTTAAGGTGCTTTTACATAAACATCTTAAATGATCCTTTTAATTTTTTTATAAAAGGATCATTTTAAAGCGTTTTTGTAGTAAATGATCTTTTTATAAAATTTTTTAAAAGATCATTTAAGGTATTTTTGTTCAGAAACATGTTAAATAATCATTTTAATTTTTTTATAAAAAGACAGAAATGCCTTAAATGATTTTTTTTATAAAATGATCATTTAAGGTGTTTTTGTACAAAAATATCTTAAATGATCTTTTTATAAAATTTTTTAAAGGATCATTTAAAGCGTTTCTGTTCAGAAACACCTTAAATGATCCTTTTATTTTTTTTATAAAAAAATTAATTAAGGTGTTTTTGTGGTGCTTTAAATGATCATTTTATTTTTTTTTATAAAAAAATTATTTAAGGCATTTTTGTGGTGCCTTAGATGATCATTTTATAAATTTTTTTAAAAGATCATTTAAGGCATGATCTTTTTATAAAATTTTTTAAAGAATAATTTAAGATGTTTTTATTCTTTTTAAAAATTTTTAATTGCAATTGCAATATAAAATTTTTTTAATTGTAAATGCTAAACGCTTTAATTGCAATATAAAAAAAAATTAAACTAACAAAAACATACAATTGGGTTCTAGTTACTTTCAGACATGCTTTTCAAAAAGATTATAGCTATGTCATAATTTTTTATTCAAGTCAAATTTGAAAATAAGACAATTCCCTTCCCTTCGAAATCCTAAGATATCATAAAGAGAAGTTAGTTTTTAATTCTAAAACTTTGAATACTGTTGGGAATCTGACATTTTTCCTCGTAATCATATTACTTTAAACCTATGTGAAAATCAAATATCCACCATTAAGATTCCAAAAAAAAAAAATTTGTGAATTCTTCTGAACCAAATGCAATCTAAAAAATAACTCACATTCCATGCTATTGGATTGGTTCATACTTGATTGTGTGTCTAAAACAACAATATATTTGCCGTCATTGTTAGTGTGATTCTAATGCTAATATAGGTGCGCATCCTAAGATGCTAATATTAAATTTAACTAACATTTTTTATGCTATGGAAGTAGAATGGGTGCTTGTAACATTTATGACTTAACTATTAGCTTTTAGCTTTTACTAAATAAGTTTTATATTCATCTTTATTCAAATTAAATTTTTAGATAATATTTTTTCTTTAAATGTTTTTAAGGTCTTATTAAAGCTATAAAATGCAATTAAAATTGTAATGAGAACATATATGCAATGAACTTTTTTGTTTGCTTAAATTTAAAAATAATTAAAACCAAATGTATAATAATTGTGAAATAATAAAATAATAAATGACAAATGACATTTTTTTAAAAAAAATTAGGATTTGAGTTTAAATGGGAAGTCTTTAGCTTTTATAAGGTACTAGCGTGAGAGCATCGCGTGAGAGCTCGCATTTTGCTACGGGAATTGTTAGGCATGTAAAAGATATAAGAAGTATATATAAAAGATATATATATATATATATATATACGCTCTAAATATATAATATTGAATATTAGAGAGGTTGATTAAAGTAATATTAAAAGTTTAAACATAGAAAGCTAATTAGATTCATAATTTATATATTTAAAAGGATGGTTTTAGGAAACACTAATGATAAAATAAATGAATCCTTAACTTAAAACTTCATATAATACCATGCTAACTAACTTTTAACCATATCATGTTAGCAACTTAAACCTCTATTAGCAAGACTTTTGGAGTGGAAGATATGCAATCTCATGTTTATCATCAAATGAGTTAAGTTATTGTGAAACATATATAGTAGTAAAAATTTAGAAATGTGAGCTAGCCTGTATAGTATCCTCTAGGATTGTCATCAGGTGTAAAAATTTGAATTGCCCAATTGGACCTCATAATTTTCTATAAAATGGATTTTGTCTGGATAGATAAAAAAAAACCAAAATGAGCCTCTATAAACAGTGTCTTACAATAACTTTGTTTAGTTCTTTTGGTGATGTTATGCTCTTTGTCCTTAGCAAGTCAATTTTATGAGTTGTTTACTTATTATGTCTTGCCAAAAAAGGACATACCCACATGACCAAAATCTCTTAGCCTTTTGGATAGTTATTGCTTATACGCTTTCTTCCAAAAAGTTGCTCACCAACACTATCCTAAATGCATAAGTATCAACTTTGTCATTTACTTTGCCTTACATGAAGTACTTAGGAGCTAAATAGCTGGTAATATTTTTAATTAATCAATAAATTGTAACAACCCTTTTTCCCAACAAAATTTAAATTGATTCAAAAGTAATCTTAAGGAAATTTTTATTTTTTTACATTATATTACCCTATAAAAAGAATACCGTTAAAAACCAGTAAGCTAAAGCATCGAAAGCAAAAATTACATGCCCAAAGGTTTTTGCAACATCTGTGCATGTTATAAGTGAAGAAAATGTTAATGCCCATTTAACAAGTCCAAAATTTGAGAGTTGTATAAACCAGAAAAAATACATAGAAATCCTTTTATGGAACATTTGAAAATTTTAAAACAAAAAGACTTGAAAGTTAAAATTTATAAATACTTGTGGCTCAAAATCATTTGATAGTATAGAGATAATCTAAGTCATTCGCTACTTCTAATGAACCTTGTATCTTTCACTCCAACCAAAAGCACTAGGAATATTATAAACAACATTATAAGTTCTAATATTTTTTCAATCTCAAAACAAGAATGTTCTGCATTTACTCATGAAAATTTTTTTCAAGGCTTCCTCTAGATAAGAATTATAAACCAAGAGTACATTGCTGCCTTCATAGTAAAAACGCAATAGGGAAATAAGTAGTAATAATTTTAATTTTTAAAATAAACTCCTTCAATACATCTTTAAAAGGTTTTAGGAGTTTCACAGATAGTTCTTTGCTGTCTTGAAACCCTTACAAACTAACCATTATTACTTTTTCTTATCAAATTTTTTGTAAATTTAAACAAAGAGCATCTATACAATCAGGAAAAATAATTAGAATATGAATTTTTTTTCCTTTAGATTGTGTTTTCATTATGAACTTGGAAAGCTAATAGCATTGACTAACCTAACTAGTCATTGTTTTGGTCTGGATAAATTCAAGATCACTCCAATGGCTTTCATCATAAGAGGGCTTTTGGTGTTTTACAACATTATATAGCAGATGATGTGAGTACCGACATTCTAATAGTTTTGGTTTTGACACATGCTTTTATGATACTTATCACTCCATTAATTGTTGGTTTTATAACTACATTATGAAAATAAAAAAATAATTAATTTTATGTTTTATTAATACATGCTTACATAAACTAATAGCTAAATTCATTAAAATCAAGTGCTATTTTTTCTTTTAAATTTCTTCATAGTGTAATAAAAAAAAGTAAAATAAAAGTTCATTATGGTTTACTTTAATTCTTGACTTCAAACAATAATTCATGTTAGTCGTTAGCTTTGGATTACAACTTAAAGGCGAAAAAAATTCAATTTAGAATAGTTTCATGTAATTCAAACTAGTATACAAATAATTTTCTATATGATATTCATACCTTAAGGTCATTAGACTTAAAATCCATAGGTGTGGCAACATGGAACACACCTCTATAACCTTGAATTGTGTCATCAAAGCTTTGATTTCCACCTAAATCTACCTTCCATAAAGTCTAGTGTGTTTTAGTTTTTGGTAACTCTAATAAATGTTTTACCTTCTTTAAGTTGTCAGCTCTTTTAATAAAAAAAAAATCAATTAAAATACTACTAAACTATTACTGCTAGTAAACTATATAAATCCAAATTTAACCTTGCTACACTTAAAATAATATCAACAACCAAAGTGAAAATCAACGACAAAAAACAATGAGAAATAAGAAAACCATATAAGAACCAAAAATAAAAAAGAGAAAAAAATTCAATCAGGTGGAGAAAACCAAAACCAAAACCATCTCACCACAATAGCTAATGCTTTTATTGCCACCATTGCCTATACAAGCTCCACTTCTTTCCCATTTTTCTTATAAAAAGTGTTTTGAAAATGAAAAAAAGTCAAATTTAGCAAAAAACCAACATTCTAGTGGTAGGAGACTTTTAACAATCTTCAATTTTCAAGCTTTCATCGATTACTTTTTTTAGATTTTTCTGTTTCATTTTTTTTCCTCAATCATTAATGGTCTTCAATAGAAATC